TTAAAATAAAGCTTGGGGAACTCAACCTAATAATTTTGGAGCATGTATATCATTGACACTAAAATAAGTGAACTTGCCCATTAGACACACTTACCCAATTTAAATGCTATAGGAACTCGCATAAATGAATTAAACAATGAAACCCGATGTGAGCTCAAACTTGCCCAGTTAGTGGGAGAGCCTCCCTAAGAGAGCATCTAATCATTAGAATAAAACTCACTAGCCCTAGTTAATCAGTTTCCTCATAATAGAGGATAACTAACTAAGATGAGAGACAATTGAGCCCTCATCAAGGTTCAAGCTAAATGGAAACTCAAACTACTCTCTATAGGAGAGCTGAGTTGAGTCCTCAAAGCTATGCTTAGGCTTATAAGCTTACCACCTCCCCCAATTTGTGATAAGATCTACATTGAGTAGTATGAAAGTACCCTATTGTTGCCGAGTCTAAGTGGTTACCCTTGCAAAGGATATAAAGTTTGACATAAGGTGAAGCCCACTAAAAGTGATGGTGAGTTTAAAACAAAATTGTGAGTAAGCCTATAGGTAGGCTTCCCCTTTTGCAATAAGATCAATAATTAGTAGCGTACAAGTCCCTTATAGTTTACGAGTCTAGGGGATTACCCCCATGGACTAAAGTCTAAGGTAAATCACATACCACCTAAGGCAACTTCGCATAAAGCTCCTATAGTAAAGTCAATAAGTGACAAGCTCATTTATATAATGTACATAAGGTAATAGCCAACTCACTCATTTTTCCACTACCAAGAGCATGGAATCACATTAGACCGCCAGCAAATGCTGTCGAGCTTAAAACATAGAAGATTTTTTATCAAAATTTTGTATTACTAGCACAACATGTTAACTCGCCAAGGCACTCTTATTCTTATGCCAAGCTCAACTAATAAGCTACCAAGTTCAGGTATAAAGAAATTCATTTTGAATGTAGATAATCTTGCTCTAAATGATAGGTTTTAATTTTCTCGATGCTGGGTTCATGTTTGGTGAGTTTAAGATTTCACTAATTATCAAACTCTTCTTAAAGTTTTATTTATTCAAAATCTCTTCTTAATAGTAAATGAGTCAACCTATTACTCATATTCTTATCATATTATTTACTTATTTGTTCAAAAAATTTAAGTTAATTGATCGTCGTCAAGAAAGAACTTGTTGGCAAAATAGCTTATTATTTATTAAATATATAACTCACTTGTCATTCATAATTTAGTTATCGACAAGTTAAAAACTTAAAGAATTTTTAGGAAATTTTTATTAGTTGCCTATAAGAGAGTGCGCTAGTATGCACATGCCACTTATGCTAAATACTCCTTAGCTCAACACTTGGAATAATTTTAGAGTAGTAAGTAAATATATAGACATATGCATAAGGCAAGTAAGAACAAAATATTTTCTTCCATCAATTAACTTTGTCTATCCAATTCACCCTATGGGCCAAAAAATATATTACAAAAGATGGGCGAGTGTGACTCAATCAGCAATCACACTCGCACCATCACTCTCTTCATTCTTTGATGCCCAAACAAAAAAGAACTTAATGTTCTTGTATTGAGGGTCAAGCATGCCCATAAAGATGAGTTTCCCCAGTAATACTAGACCACTACATTGTATTATTGGCCTATCATATCCTCATACAATTGAGATTTGAAGAAGGTATCATACTCTTGCTTGGATGCCTTGAATTTAAAAGTGCCCTTAGCGAATTCAGCTTCGACGTGCCTCTTCACTTCTATCATTGCCTCTTTTTATTACCTCTCTTTCTTTACCACATCCTTTAAGGAATAGACTATTTTGTCAAGTTTACCGTCTAGTTACTTGATCCTCCACGAAAAGCTTCGCAGCTCTATTGTCCTTTACACAACTTTGAAAAATGTCCTAGGCCTTTTCCAAGCAGGTTGCCTTCACATTACTCATTGATGGTTTCAAGCTATAACAAAGGTCAAGTTCCATGACCACTCCAATATGTTCTTTGCCAAGTAGTCGAGCTCATAATAAAGAATATATTTAAAGTACTCAAGTAACTTTGAGAAGATGGCTTGATATTGACCATAACATCTTCTGGGGGCGTAGAGCATATTGACTTCACTTGCCATATACCTTGTGTCCTTGAAGGAGGAATATGGGAATAGATCTTCGCACTCATTGTTACTCATTATGTCCACCCCCTTACCCTTGCTTGACACCTCGAACAATGTAATTGGATGACTCACCTCCTCGACTTTCTTCTTTGTTGCCTCCTCATCAATTGAGACACCTCTCATTGGAAGAGATTCCTTCAAAGCCTTAGCTATTAAGTGTGTAGTCTTCTCTTTGGTCAACATCTACAGCTTCTCCTGCATCATTGCAAACTTCTTAGAAACTAGCACCTTCGAGTAGATGGGAATTGCCATATCCATGCAAGCCCTTTTGGTGGTGGGCTAGTTGCCACCTTACAAAACAAGTTCATTGGGACTCTTTGATGGCCTTGCCTCCTCTTGGTCATTACCTCCCTCATCACACAAAGAAGATAGCTCTCCTATGTACTTTAATACTGACATATTGGTGGGGAAGTCACACACTAAGATGTCATTTATACCCAAAATAAAATACATTAAGTGACTTAAAAACTTTTATGAAAATGCTTATAACGATAAACGAGTAAGAACATTTACCATATAAAGTATTATACAAAATTGTTGTAGGCAGTGTGGTGTAGAGTAATTAGTGAGGGGCCACTAATCGCCTTTCTAAAAGAGGCTTGTTCATGCATCCACACTTGGCACTCGCAAGGAGAGATTAGCATTGGAGAAACAGTGTGCAAAGAATATCAAATCAACATATCTCTATGACACTCATGAGGACTGCGTGCTCGAATAGTTATCGAAGGCTATAGTACACTTGCAAAGTAAATCCATAACTTGCATAATGCACTCTCTCTTGGAGGAGGGTGAAAAGAAATTAATATTGAACTCGCACACGTAGGCCCTATCAAGGGGTATTTAGAGAGGAGAATTGAATGGATGTATAGGCACCAATCACATATGCATTATATGTGCATATCACACATTACCTCCATATCATTACCTATAGATTTGGCAACTATTTGGTACTCACCCTATTAACTAGTTGGCAATAGTAACCAAACATGAACTCACCCAGAGTTCGGTCATTACTTGGCCCATTATGAAAATCAATCCAATGTGGGGCCACCAAACTATGATACATTACCTTACTTAAACATACAACTTGTCAGTCACTAACATGAACTAACTAGTCATGATAATAATAACATAAAATTTATAAGTATTTCACTCATTACTTAGAGCGCACATAGCTGTTTTCCATAATAGCCATGCTAAGGAACTCACCATAATAGATACAAAACAGGAATACTCACCAAAACATGAAAAAAAAAAGTACTCACCATATAAAGTTGAGAACACACACAAAGGAAAAAAGACGTCCAAATAATAAAATTTTATAAAGCACATGTTTTTCGCAAGGGACTCATCAATAAAAAAAAAAAATACAACAAAAATAAAAAGTGGCATGAAGCTACTTGCCTCGATGGAAAGCCATACAAATGGGGTCACTTGCCATCTCTAGTTTTAGTCCTCTACACTTGCTAAATCATCTAAAATGAATAAGCACCCAAATGTGAAGGCAAACAACTTCACTGGATTGCAGGTGCTTCTCATCTTTGCTTTTGAAGAAGCATCCTCTTCCTTTAGTTCGATGATCTCTTACAAGGTCGTGCTTATTAGCGAGATACTAGCCTCGCCAACTACACCTTAGAGATTCATCATTTTCTCCAACATGTTAAATTTCCTTATTGCCTCCTCAGTGTGGTTAACCCTAGCAAAGGAATGATGCCCCTAAATCAACCCGTGGACAATTAGTGCGAAACCTTCTCATTCAAGGCCTTCTAGTCATGCTCCACTTTCTCATCAACTACCATTGTGCCTTACTTGACTGTAGCTCCCTTACCCTACTCATTGTTCCTAAGAGGATTCACTGCTACTAAAGCCTTAGTAGCTTTGACTTCTTGTGCAAGCAACACACCTATGATTGCCATTGAAGACTTAGTGATGAAAATTTCTCTATTTAAAAATTTAGGGAACTACGAGGAGCTAGTCATGCAAGATAGTAGATTTCATATATTGCCCTATTCCCAAGCAATTCATGTAGGGGTAGTTCAAATTCCTCACCAAATAAGCTGCTCATCATCCCCTACATGAAAAACTTCCAAAGCAAGCATCCTCACTCATACACATAGAACTCAACTACATGAAAGCACCTACACAAGGCCCCCAGCTCATCTTACGACACCCATCTAGTTTAGATCTCTCACAACAACTCACTTCCTCTCACTTCTAAGGCGATCCAAGGCCTTCAACACAAACACTAGCAACCTCAACAAGCCTGCTAGCCATAAACATATTTGGTACTATTGGACTTGTCCTAGAGAGACTGTTCGTCAGAGGCCGGCCAGTACCACCCCTTCAATCAACACGAGACAACATGCCTCCAAGTCTATTTGTAATGAGCCATTTAAATCAGTGTATTCTTTATTATTTTTTATATAACATTTTCTTAGCCCTTCGATCCCTATAAATAAGATGAAAATCAATATTTTAGAACTTTTTGCATATTTTGATTTGAGTAAAATTTGAACCCGTGAGCATTTCGCTATACATTTTCTATCTAATATTACACAGGTTTCAAATCACCCCTCACAAAATTCACCTGCTTCCACGAATAAATTTTTATCCAAGAAGCTAAATTTATTTAAGTTAAAAAATATATTAAAAATATAAAATGTAAAATTTCCTTTTCTTTCACTTTACTCATAAATATCTTTCTAAGTTTTTTTAATAAGTGCCGGATAGCTCATTTGGATACGAATCTGACGTAATGAAGTAATTATATAATTTTTCATGGCATTAAGATAAACTATACAGCCTAATTAAAACAGGAAAGCTCATGGAAAACTAGCCACAAATAACTTTCAGCAAGATAAATTATCGAACTCTTTTCCTTTCCTATTTTGGATGGATGAACAGATGAAGCTTGCCCACAAATTAGAAAATGTTATTATTCAGACTCTTATACATGCAATTCAGCCAAAGATTTGGTGTCCACAGGCTAGTTCGGGTTGAAGAAATGAAGAGGGAAAAGAATAATAACAGCAGAAGCAGATCTCAGGTGTTTGAATCAAGTCATGATATCCTGGTTTCAAAAGAATGTTACTGCCAAATTCTAAGCTATTGCCACTGAGGCCTTGTGTTCTTTCCTATGCCATCACCGTTTCCACGTTTAAGCCTTTCTGTAACCTTGGAATGCTTGAATCTATCTACAGCCTTAGTATGTTTAGGTCTCTCTTGTCCCCCGATTGATTTCAACAAGTAACATGGATTGTTCATTGTGATAGCAATAGGATCAGCTACACTGCTGCATTCATCGTTGGAGATTCTTTCCTGGGACAAATCCTTGTCATTGCTAGTCAAGATCATTAATTCAAATTCACATGTGGTCATTTCTTGTTCTCCTTCAGTTCTGTTAAAGAGTAAGACGAAGTTTAAAATTTGATGAAAGGAGAAATAGTTGGAAAGTGATATATTATAGCCATTTAAAATTTTCCAAATGTTTTTGCATGATACCTGTCATTTTGATCAGTCTCCTCAGCAGAAAAAATCTCTTTGGAATGCTGAACCACACTAGTAGACATTTCATCTGCACCATTACAACTTTCATACAGGATGCCTTCCTCTGTGCCCACCAAATGGCACGCCACTGTTACTCCTGTGCAGTCGATCATGTCCTTTGTCTGAAGCGCAGCTGCGGTAAGCATATCAGAAGGAGATCCATTTGCCTGCGCAAATTTTTGTACATCTGAAAGAGCTGAAAGGGAAACATTATCACTTACATCATGGTGTTCCAATTTTCTATTAGGTTCTAGGTTCTCAATGACATCAAGTAACTGAACATCATCGACCCTGTTACTTTCTGATTCACTCATACCAGTCGGTTTGCCAATTTTAGCAGTTGTGTCCAAATCTGAATTCCTTCCAGATCCTGCTTCAGAAATTATTATAAAGTCGTCTATGCTGTTGGTCTCACGCAACCTGTCACTAAAGGTATTACTTTCTGCTGCAGCTTGGTCATCTTCTATGCAACTATTGAAGATGGTTGGGCTGCTAGACCACTCATCATCGTGGCATAAGTCTATAGCACCAGTTATTGGATTTTGAAGAGGTTGAATTATCTTGATTTGAGTCTTTACTCTTGTAGAATCCTCCATTGAAGAAACAAATTCACCATCCACTGTGACACTAGAATATCCTGTACCTAAAACATCCTCCTCGTATACTTTGGATCCATCCATCCCTGCTTGTGTGCCTTCACAATTATCTTCTGTGCATTTATTAAAAATATCAACCGGAGGATTATATTTAGACTTTGTCTCAGGTATTTCAGCTTCAATAAGGGTTTTGATGGCCAGTTTGGCAGCATTTGAAGCCCATCCCTCTTCAGAAATTTCACTACAAAATCATTGTATGAATTACATAAACCTGATCCAAGATATGGCAGACATCTTAAAAGCTATCAAAATAGCTTCTATATAGCATATAAAACTAAATAAGTGCTGCCAAACACTTGAATTTTTGACTTTACCCTTCAATACAATAAGTATGGTATCCTTAGTTAATAATTATTTTTACATAATCAAATTGATACTAACAATCAATACTAATTTTAAGCACCCTTTTTTTTACATTGAGAAAAAATAAAGCATCAGGCGGAAATTTCTTGTCATGGGGTAAGAAAGAGTTTTTTTAAAGAAAATAAAGCAATTGTTCAAAAGAATTCTGAAAAAGCTTCATTCAAACATCAGCAAAGGCAAGGACATGTGGCAAACAAGTTTTTTTTTTTTTAACATGATAAGGAAAATAATTTATTAAATAAAAGGAGAGGTACAAAAAATATAAGAAATTACTGAAGTATATAAGTAGATGATAAAAAGATCGTAAATAAAAGGCAAAATGCATGAGCACAAAACAAGAATAAGAGGCTAGCAAAGGTTTGCTGGGAGACTGCAGTGACTGATCACGTCATTATATTAAATAAATTTGGATGGGAATCCTGAATTCTTTAAGCAACTTGACATACCATGCAATTTGGTTGTGCACTGCCTATGTAGTTAGTAATCCTTGTTTTCCTTAATGCAATTAGAATGAATCCAAGAATCATAATCACTAGGACTCAGATAGTCCTCTCCCACAATGTTTAATTCATCCACAAGTCTGTTCTCACGAAAATGGGTTACCCAGTTACCTGAATTGCACAAAAGTGTTGACCTCCATATCAATCCCATGATCAATTTGATCGAACAAGGCAAAACAACAGACAATATATACGATGTTGTGCAAATATAATTTGAAATACCTCAATCGTAATCAAAAGCATCTATTCATCACTAGTTTTTGGGACGTTAAAAATACTCATGATAGATACCATATTGGTCCATCCACTGCACCAATGCAAATAAAAAATTTAATTGTTCGCTAGGTGACAACGCATAATTGGAGACCTAAGATTGACAAAGAATGTGTGAGCAAGAGACAACAAACAAAAAGAAAATACTTCTATTATTTCATTATGCATTTTGCGTGCATATATAATTTGAATTTATTTTTAAAAATAAAACCCTATCAAATCCCATGCTGTTTGCCCCAAATCCTCTGTTAATCCCCAAATCCTGCACCAAGTACTTGTACTTGGTGGCTTGTCCCATCCCCGTCCAATCAACTATTCAAAATAAATTAATTAATTAAAAAAAATAAAACCCCGAATCCCACACCATCCACCATCATCCTTACCCACAAACGCTTCTTCTCATAGAAGTGCATAACATATTCTATCCCAATCTTGCACAAGTTGTGAGCCTTAGAAACAGCAAACCTTGCTCATGCCATTCTCTACACCCTCTTCAATCTCTTCTCCTCCTATCTTGCCTCTTCTCTTCTACTCATATCCCCTCTTCCACTCGTTCTCCATCTCCCTCACTCCCTATTCCTCTCCTCCCTCACCTTCAACCTCTCCCCTCCTGCGTACTAGCTCATGCTCAAGCCCAGCTCACACATTCCATCCCTTATGTTGATATCATCAAACCATCCGACAAGTAACTTCAAAGACTCACTACAGGAAATCATCTATTACCAACGGATTTTCTGGGGAAAATTTGTTTAGTTTCTGACAGATTTGGAAGTTTTTCAGTGAATTTCTAGCAAAAATTTTTACGAAAGTAAAATGTGCGTCGATAAAATTAAACTCTTTCTTCAAGAGGTATATTTTGTATTAATTCTTCTAAGTTATTTCAAAAAATTTAATTTAGAACTTATATCCAAACCTACCTGAGGAGCATAAGCACTTATAATATTAACAATCTTATCCTCAACAACAATCTTTAAAGCTATAATTCTATCACCAATCCTATTAATTTTTATAACATTAATTAATTAAAATAAAACATTAAAATAAATGACTAAAAAATCGCTGGAAATCTCGCCAGAACTTCCGCAAGAAAAATCTGATGGAAATATTTCATTTAATCCACTAAAAATCCGCCCAGAAACATCCATAAGTAATGGATGATTTTTCTTTAGTGACTCCAACCAAACACCAATAATTACTTTTCCTGTTGTCTCATCTTCCCCCTTTCAACACCTCTCACGTGCCATCAATTGTTTCTCCCTCCATCACAATAGTTGCCAACCACTTCCACACATAATGCCCTATCGACAACATCCACCAAAACCCAATTCCCTCTTTCATGTTCTACCACCAAAGTCAGCCTCCCATATTCTGAGTCAATGACACCACCGGCAACTCAGTGAATGTTAACAACTTCTTCTTCTTCTTCTCTCTCTCTCACACACACACACACACACAATCTCTCTCTCTCACCCTCTCTAACTCTATCTTCCTCTTTATATTTCTTTTCCTCTTTGGCTCTCTTTCTCTCCCTTTAAAGAAAAAGTAAAAAAAAAAAGAAGAAAGAGAAAAAAAGAGCAAAAGAGGGAGCATAAAAGAAGAAAAAAGAAAAAGAGAGTTTTGTGTTGTGTTTCAATTATCACAATTTAGTTACCCTTCCCCAACAAAGTTGACTTACACGAGAAAAAAATGCAACGAATGCTAAAAAATTTTTAATAACAATGCACGTTGTTAAATGCATATATATATATAGCTCGTTCTTCTAACACAATGAAAAATCTTGCATATTTTCTCATGAAGGTGATGAAGGCAGTTGACCTGCTGTATAAAAAAAATCAAAAATAAAAGAAAAAAAATCAATCAAACATCACCTGCTTTGCAGAAGCAACGATCTCGGCACGACTCGCACGACGCACTCATCGCCCACGTCACACGATCCGTCACCCTGCCTCGCTCGTCATTAAAAGGGCAAAGGGATGAGGCCTTCGGCCTCCTAGCTCATTCCCGCTCACTTTCACACGCTCTCCGCACTCCCTTTATCGCTCTCACTCTCTTCTTCCAGTCGGATCCGAAGTTACGCATCTTGATCGGAAGCAAGAACAGCAGTTCGCCGGCTGTGAAGTAACTTTCTCCCTTTCGATCGCTACTTCGGCACCGTCGTGGCCAGTCGACTTCGCTCCTTCGACCGGCATTCCCTTTATGTGGAATCGGAAAGCAGAACGAGAGCTCGCTGCTGCGTAGATAACCTTCCACCTTTAGCGTGCCTCTTCGGCCCGTTCGTGGCTATTCGGCTTTGCTCCTTTCGACGACTCTCCCAACAGTCGAGTCGGAAGTTGCAGCATTTTGGCGGAAGCAACAACGTGAGTCTGCCGGTTGTGAAGGTAATGATCTCCCTTTCGGGAGATCCTTCGGCCAAATCCCGTCGATCCGCCGAACAGAGAGGGGGAGGAGAGGGATTTTAATTTTTTGTTTATTATTATTATTATTATTTATTTTAAATTATAAATTAGTATTAATTAATTAATTAAATTTAATTACAATTAATTATATTAATTATAAGCATGTCGGGTTGGCAAACCGCCCATACACGCTTTTCTTAGCGTGGTGGGAAGGAAAACTGGCGCGACACCTACGACGAGATAGGTGAGCGACCCCTCGGCCCCAAAGTCTTGTCCTCGACGTGTGCGACGAGCCGGCTAACCACCTATACACGCTTTTCTTAGCGTGGTAGGAGGGAATCCGGTGCGAAGCATACGATGAGGCAGGTAAGCCTGGTGCATGCTTTTCTTAGTGTGGCCGGGACAACTCTTAAGTACCCGTCTCTGTACCTGCGGGGAAACAACTGCTTTTTCTCTTGCAACAGGTACCGGTAGAAGACCCATACACGCTTTTCTTAGCGTGGTGGGGACAGATTTTACACGGCCGTGGTGTCCTCGAAAGAGAGCACCTACCATACACGCTTTTCCTAGCGTGGTGGGAAAGGCCCAGTTTTTGTAGTTTTCCCCTAAACGGGGGAGATGCCGGGAGGCTGTCGAAATTTTAGGTGAACATCTAATTGTACTCGGACCTGTTAGAACTCAAAGAGAACAAGAACCTTGACTCAAACGAGAATGAACAGTGGATTTGCGAACTTGGAAACTAAGCATAACTCAAGTGACTAATGATAAAGGCTTGAACTCAATAAAATTGAAAAAATGCCTAAGCAAACGACTCAAACTTGATACTTGAACAAAAGTGGAACTTGAACGACACAAAGGACCTAAACTCGAATTAAAGTAGAACTTGATTTGAACTGGGTTGAGAGAACTCATGCTTGAGTATGATTTGGACCATAGGGGACCCACACAAGACTTGAACTTAAATGAATTAAGCAGAATGAGAATTTAAATTTAGACTTCTACTTAAGCTAATACAAAAGTTCCAACTCAAACTAAAATTCCAAGTACAACTCTCTTGATGATTAAGATGCAAGAACTATCAAGTGACATTGACCACAAGAAGTAACAGTTCAATGTCAAACAAATGTTAGAGACTTTTGCAAATCATAGCAGTCAATATGCAACATGAAATGCACACAAATAGAGGAGGACGACGTATAACAAGTGCAAATACCTACGAACGTTCATAAAAGACTCACTGTGTACACACCATGTGATTTACAAAAAGAATGCAAGGAATCTACCATAAATGTTAAGATGCCTATACATCCTATCATAAGGCAGTGGAAGATAGATGCGCCTGCCTTCTGCAAGCCGAGGAGATTTGATATCCAACAAATGCAAGTACCTACAATCCTTTGTAGGAGGCCCGCCGTACATTCAACACATGTTCGTGAACAAATGTGAAAGATTTGCAATACATCTCAAACATGTATAAGCATAATGCAACAAACGCCTATAACAGTCCCTACAAAGGCAATGCATTGTACTTGCAAGCAGCAATAGACAATTGCAAGGCGTACGAGTACTACCCATATGTAGTAATCAAAGACCCGTCCCTATAAAAAAGTACAATTAACAAACCACCTGAGATTGATGAAAGGTGGATA